AGTACTTGTATAATCAAGTACTAAATAAAGGCAAGTACTAAATAGATGTGCAGTAACTGGAGTTACTGCATGGTATCATGAGCAAATGCCTTTTAAATGATGCTACCGCGCAGTGGCCTAATAATTCTACACAGTAGCATATTAGCACTGTTGGTGCTGTGATGTGCTACTGCACAGTGTTATTTGACTACTGTGCAGTTAGCGTCTTGTGTAGACACACCCAGTGAAAACAATCGTTTCGTATTTCACAAGCGTCACAGTTTGTGAATCTTTCTTGAGGCACCAGAAACGTCCTCTTCAAAACAAGAAAATGACAGTTTGTCTGAGTGCTCAACATTTATTACAGCATTCAATAAATGTAACTGCTTGTTATGGTAATTGTGACATAACTCCTAATTCAATGTAACCATTTGGGAAGTTATTGTTTTACTGTGAAGGGTTCTCAGTGGATCTCTTGAAACAAAGATGAGCCATCTGAATTAAGTGGGCTTCAATAAAACACAGAAATGTAACCATGCCTTCCAAACATGTATTACTACAAAAATGCTATCTTTTTTTTCTGTTCACCCTTACCAAATGAGGGCAAATTTTGACATATGCCAGTGCCTTATACTTTTGCATGAGATGCTACAGCCATCCCTCTAAAAAAGAAATCGAGTTTGCTTCACTTATTCTGTTGTCCTCAATCTCTACTGAAGCTTTATGAAAAACCTTTGCTGCTTATTAAACTAGCAACAAACTCGCTTTTATTATCTGCCAGAAATTTGATGTTAACATTTTGTTTTTCTGTTATAATTATGTCGATTTTTTTTCTTTCTTTTTTTTTCTTTCATTCTTTTTTGTTACATTTGCTGATTATTCAAATGTGAATGTCACTTATAGTTAAGGTAGGTTGTTCTTAATTATATTTTTTGATCTTTTGTCTTTTCAACAAAGGCTGATATTTTAAAAGGGAACTAAGGGCAAATACCAAAAGGGACTTAGGTGCTACAGTACCAAGCACTGTAAAAACTGGAGCTAGATGTCAAAATATAAAACACTTTGGGGTCATAAACAGAACTTAGGCGAGTGTTAGATGCCCAACGCCACAACTGTAATCCAAAACACTCCCACAGCACAGTAGTGGCAAAACATTGGAAGTGCTTAAGTTGTACTGAGTTGCCTCATTTTTCTCCCAGCAATTTTCCTGGTAAGCATCTACAGCTGCAGTTTGGCACATTGTTGAGGAAGCTGTCTGTGGCCAGAAATGTGTGGAAGGCCTATTGTGGTAACTGTGGTTTCTGTGGTTGTAGATTTTGGGGTATCAGTTTCTGAGGATTTTAAAACAGGACTTGAAGGCCTAAAAATATATAGTGGGTTGTTTATAAAGATGGTAGAGATCTATTGTTCTCAGAGTCCACAGGGGACAGGACAAGAAGTAATGGTCTTAAACCAAAGGAAGAGAGATTTAGATTGAATATTAAGAACAACTGTATAACTAAAAGGGTGGTTCATCACCAGAACAGATTACCTAGAGAGGCTTGGATTCTCTATCACTGAAAGTTTTTAAGTGCCAGGTACACAAACACTTGTCTAGGATGGTTTAGACAGAGATAATCCTGCTCCAAGCAGTGGATTGGACTAGATAACATCCTGAAGTCCCTTCTGGACCTACTTCCCTATGCTTCTATGATGCTTGTCTATCTTGCCATTGATCTATGAATTTTTACATCTCTGAATAGCAATGGGGTGAACCATCATGAACTAGCAAATAAATTATATCTATAATTATATATTTAAATAATAGTCTCCTGTGGCTAAGGTGGAATCATTATAGACTACCGGCTAAATCATCTGGGTTATATAAAGCCTGTAACACCTAATCATGGTTCTAATTAAGTGAGCTAAGCAGCCTAGCAAATAAGACTTTCTAACACCATCAGCCCCATTAAGCAGCAAATTCCTGCCTTATGAATAGAGTAATATATGCTAAAACAAAAGAAGCAATATAGCCACATAAGCATGGCAATCTGTCTGGGGCAATATACCCTGCTTTTCAGCAATGCTACTTAATCCAGTCAAGACAGCATTCTCCCCAGATTAAGTAGCATTGCTGAAAAGCAGGGTATATTTCCCTACTTCCAGTACCCAAGGTAGCTCATTCAGAGCTAATTGGGTTTTATCTACACAGAACTTCATTGTAATGGGCAGACCTCTCCTAGGCTATGGACAGAAGTTGCATATAAACCAGTTAAAGTGATCAGAAACTGGTTTAAACCTGTAACAGAATATAAATTCAGTGCACATAAACCAGTTTGAAAATGGCTGAAACTGGTTTAAGATAAACTTGGTTGAATGTAATATCAGACTTAACTGATTTGGGTCAAACCGGTCTATGCAACTTCTGACCCAGACCCCTTCCTGGTTCAAGTTAAATCACAGACCCCCAGCATCCCAGCATTTTGCAGCCCTGGGCTGTGCTGTGCTGTATGTTTCAGAGAGCAGGGCTGGCCCTGCCCCTCTGCTCCCTAGCTGAAGCAAGTGAGGGCTGGCTCAATGGCCTCACTGGCTGGCTCACTGACCCCTCCTCTTCCAGGTAAACCCCTGCTGGGATCTATGGTCAGGGGGTGGGTTAAACATCCCTTCCCCCAAGTACAGAGCTGTCCTGACCTATTTACTTAGTGCTGGCTGCGACTGTGGACTACAAATCCCAGAGGTACCTGGAAGCAGGAAGAGGAATTGATAAGCAACCCTCCTGCTACTGCAAGTCCAGACTGCAAATCCCAGAGGCCTTGGGGCAGCAGTAAGAAGAAGAAAACACACAGCCCCTGCTGACTACATGCCAGAGAGTCATGCTGTAGTGTCCCCCAGCTCCTAACGTAGCTGCATTTCTGGAATCAAAAGTGAACGTCCATTCATTTGCTTATTGGTTCAATCTTTGCAGCTTAGACTAAGCTGCAAAGACTGAACCAATTCAGCCTCAGGCTGTTTGACTGTCTGTACTTAGCCCTAAGGTTCAGTTTAGGGCTACATCCTTAGGCAGTGCAAACTTGACATAGCTTTATTGATTTCAGTGGACCTGCATGAATTTATACCAATCTCTGGTAACCAATGAATCACTGGCTCATTTAAGTTTTTGACTCTCAGTCCTGTGCTTGTTCCAATAGATCATTCAACCAAAGGAGATTAAGAGATCCAGTAATTCAGACAGATCATGAAAAGGGCATCTGCCACAATGTTCTTGTATGACTCATAAGGACCCTGTATTATTTATACCTTGCTCATAAACAGGTGACCTGTGCTTAAGAGTCTTTTTCTCTCCACTGCAAGCATACTACTGTGTCAGGAAGCATCCCCTTAAGCACTCTGCATTGTTCCACATGAGCTGCCTTTTAAACTAGAAGCAAAGTGCTGAGCACAGGTTGACAGCTCTGCTGTCAGAAAGGTTAAGTTTGTGGCGTAGACATGTCCTAAAGCTTCCAAGAGGCATATATAAATACAGCATTGAAACACACCTTGAATAAAACAATTTAACTGGGCTCATATGAGCCATAAACATGGTCTTCATTATGAAGTTATCTTTACTAGTCTCTATAGTATACTTGTAGCAGGAAATGCTTGGATAAAGCACCTTGTATTCCCCCCGCCCTTTGTCTACATAATAGTAAGACCTACAGCTAAATGAACATGGCATTTTTAAAGCATGGTTTTCACAGATTCATAGATTAGTAAGGCTGGAAGGGACCTCAAGAGATCATCTAGTCGAATCATGGATTGAACCTGCAAATATGGTTAAAAATAAGAACCTAAAGTTATGGTCTTAAATCCACTTTGGGGCACCTAAAGAAATGATCTAATTTTGAAAAGTGCTGAGAAGCCAGGAACTCTCAGGGAGAGGACAATTCTTCTTTCAGATGGGACACAAGTGAAGGTCCTGATAATTTATAGTCATTAAGGATTCTAAACGCAGGGAAGTTATTAGCATTTGTGTCCTAATAAAGTTCCAATTGTGTTAATTATATCCTGGCTATCCAATATTCTTGGCAGTTTCAGCTCTATGGATTGTTCTTCTCTTAATTTACAATCCTGAAAGCACTTTGCACCTAGGCAACTCTATTCTGATTTGACTGTGTAACTTACTTGAGAAAATTACACGTGCTCATAAACATTTGCAAATCCCAGCATTTTCTGTCAAACTGTTCTGTAATATAAATGTATGTTCCTGATCTGCACCCAAGCAGGTGTATATTCTAGTGTTGGAAGTATTAACTTAGTGCAACAGCGATGATCTGATCTTCAATTATCTGAAAATCGCTGTTATATTAAGGAAGGTCATGGCCACCTGGCATCCATTAATTACAATGATATCTTCTATATTACTTGAAATAATTAAATACCTTCAATTATATTAGATAATTAGATATTTGAAGGTGTACCACGCTTGGAAAGTGTTCCAAGTCCTTTGGGTGAAAGCTGCTATATAGAAGTAACATATTATTTAAGTATTATTAATAACAATGTTAACATTGGAAGATAAAGGTGCCCTGCACAATGAAGAGATGGGTTTTAGTCCATGCTTAGATATCTAGTTAAATGAAAGAAAGTTTTTGGAAATATTAAAGCAACCGTTTCTCAAACATCAGATAATTTGCTGAACAAAACATACATGATGCATAAAATGATATGAAATTTTCCAGCTTTATTTTCAGATACTTAGTTTGAATATTACATCTTTGACTACTTGTAAAAAGCTCATTTATCTAAGCACTTCTGATCTGTGGCATTTTAAATAAATGAGGTCTCTGCATAATTAAATTGTCTTGGTTTTAATTACATTCCCTTGAGTTTTTTTTAATTACTTCGCAACTTGAGGAAAGCCTCATTGTGAACATTGATCTGAAATCTCTGATGTGTTTAATAACGTCAGGCAAAAAAAAATAGCTGCAAGGAAAGAAATCTTATTAAATTATATTTGCAGGCATTCCTATTTCTTTCAATAAGGTTAATATCAAACAGCTTACCTTGTCATCTAATTTCCGTGCACTGAATGAAAGTTCAACATAGTCATCATTGCCGGATAATTCCTCAGCAATCACCTAAATGGAAAGTTACATTTGAGTTTTGCATATATAATAACAGAAAAAAAATGAGGAAGGATGCCATTTATTGAAGAGTACTCTAAGAACCATGTCAGGAGGAAAGTGACAGTCACTTGCCAAGAAATTGGCAACCTAGCTGGCATACATATCAAAATAGGTCATTTTGCCTCAAACTGAGTAGAAGGACATTTTCACACAAATTAATTATTTCTAAGGGGGAAAATACAAGAGTAGTTTGAATCTAAACTTAGAAAATATCATGCTATTTTTAAAGATATTTTAAGATGACATATTTATACACAATTTCCCATAATAAACTGGAAGAAATGAAATAACATGGGATTAACTACCTTGAAATTCTGGCCATGTCTATATAGAGACTTTTGCTAATATAGTTATATTGCTATAGCTAAACTGGCAAAACCAATTAACATGTACATAATTTATATCACTATAAAAGTTCATAATATTGGAATCACTGTACATATGCTGTACCTGTGTAAGTTTTACCATAACTTGCTGGTAAAAGCAAGTTTCTATAAATATAATCATATCTATTCTAGCACTTTTATTGGTATAACTATGGGTATGCGCAGATGTTACACTCAGATCAACCTAAGTAAGGTTAGGTTAGATTGATTTAAGTGCTCGTTTGTACAGATGTTCAGGGAGTTTCATCAGGCAAAAAATGACTGGTCTGATCTAAAGAATGTCTGCACACACTGGAGCATAGCCCTGGGGCTGGGAAAACCCAGCTCTCGGGCTCTTCCTACCCCTGACTGGGCTATTTTTAGCCCCTTATGTCCAGAAAGACAACCCCTTGCAGACACCCTGAAAAGACACCAGCGCCCCAAACTTGCCAACCCCTTCCAAACCCACCAACCCCACCCTGATTCCGCTCACCCCTACTTGGATCATGTTGCTGGCACTGGCGAACATGCGCACAAGTCAGACCCAATCTATGATCATATGGCTTTAAGTAAGCTGTGTGAGTTTAGATCAAGTGCCATGAACATCTACACATACCCTTAGTCAGTAGCTCCACTCTGTCTTTTCCACACAACTGCACTGCCAATGAAACATTTAACTGCTCACCAGGCTTTAAACAGAGCTAAGACATTACACCTGAAAATACTCAAAATAGCTAACCGTCCATAAAATCTTCCCCCAGAACACAAACCCCTGAATTTTAGAGCCCACATATTTTATAACTACTCATGTTTGTGCCCCACCCAGGATTAAACCATTCCCATGTTACAGAGCTCATATTCTTGGTAGATACACGAGAGTTCAGTGGCATCCTTCATACCAGCTATGAGCTGCCTGGGTCAGACTAGGAATCAATAGAATGCAATATCACACTCCCACTGCTGAGCTGTCTAATTCCTTTCCTAGGAGTTGTCAGTGCTACCTTCATCCTCAATAACTGTTTCAACAGCATCTGCTGGGAGTCTTAGAGAGACAACATTTAAAAAAATGGAGGATGACTTGTGCCTGTATAAAAATGGCCTTTGTTCAAACAAAGTAGTTAAAAAGTGTTATATATGCACAACCCCATAAATGTGTAGAAAAACACAAATGTATATGCACAAATATTTACTGTGCGCAAGTCAGACATGAATAGTTGAAACTGAGGGTAGGTACAACAGTTTCACTTAACATGCATTAAGTGCACAGAAAGCAATTTAAAGCCATAACAGAACAGATATTCACAGCACTCAAAGCACTTTAAAATGGCAGATCCTGCTCTAAGTTAACCCTTGATGGATGCAATATGAGACTAAAGTCCTTTAGGTTAGAACACTTTTTTGAATGCCTGTACTACATCTATTGTGCTTGAATGTAGGTTGCGTTCTGCTGTCATCCCAGGAGCCCCTCACTGGGTGGCTTCCTAGTCTGGGCTGGCGCCCATTTGCTCTGAGCAAGCGGTAGCCTAGCCTGCCCCCAGGCTGTCACAAAGAGAAGACAGATAAGGCTTGTCTCCTCCCAGCTCAGCTGTGCGGTGAGGTGGGGAAACATAGCTTCTCTGATGTGTGGAGTCCACCCTGCCCCTCCCAAGCTTGTGAGCTCAGGTCTTGGGGAGGGCAGGACTGGGTCTGCATGGCAGACAGGCTTTGTTTCCCCCCTAAGTCCCAGTTCCCAGCATGGTAAAAACCAGCAAGGCAGCTGTACGCTACAGCTCCTGGCTGTAGGTGTCACAAAGCTGAGGGTGGGGGGAAAGGGAGCTCCCCCCACCACGAGGGTCTCCCCCACAGCTTTCTGTCTGGGTTCTTGTGGGGGTTGAGCTAGGTTTGCATGGCAGAGGGGTTCATTCCCCACCCCACCTTTGCCCCAGCCTTTTGACAGCTGCATCCAGGAGCTGCAGTGTGGGGGTGCCCAGCTGGCTTTTTGCCTCACCAGGAACTGGGGCCAGGCAGGAAGGGAGGCCTCCTGCCATAAAAGCCCCTTCCCCTCAGCTTGCTGGCTAGGGTTTCGGGAGAGAGGCCAGGCTGGGTCTGTACGGCAGGCAGGGGTCCTTTCCATCCTGGCCCAGCAAAAAGCAGTGTGGGAAGGTCCAAAATAGGGGGGTGGGGTTGGCTCTGGCAGCTTCCTGGGAGGCATGCAGGAGTGCCCCCGGCCTGCTGGCATTGGCCAATCCAGACAGGCATCAAATCCCACTCCCCCCCCCAAACAGCCAATGTCTGTTCAGTTTATTCCCACTCTAACTTATAGCACTTTAAGTAAAGTGTAACAGTTATAACGCAGCTGTCAGAGGCTTTCTGAATGTCTGTATTTAGCCCAAATATTTCTTCCACGTAATCTACTGGTTAGAAGGATCATTAATCATCATTAATACACCTGGGATTTGTACATCAAGATTTAGGTTTCAGTAATATTTTATAACTAAGTTCCAATCCTCTAACTAAAAGTGATGACAGACCTTTAACAACAGTTGTTAAAAAGTGGTTATTTTACTTCACAGCAAAAAAATAACAATGTATTGATTAGATATGCTAGAGATAGTGGTATAATAATGACAATAGCAAACTTCTCTGGTATGTGAAACTTACCAGTTCAATAAAGGATACATAACAGTATATATGAAAAGTCATGAAATTAACTTTGGTAAATTCAGTATATCACAGATGCTTGGTATGTACCCTGGGACCAAAACGGATTAGTAATATTTTATTTGTGTTTTCTCTGTTGAAACAGCAAGCTTTTCATATTATTTCTGTCTGAGTTCAGCTGTTCCCAGTGTGAGTAAAGTCCATCTGTTTCGTAATAACATTGGCTAAGAGCCAGGATATGTAAAGTTTGGCCCAGGCTTTGTTTTCATAGAGGTGCAGGGCAGAAGGAACCATTCAATCATTCAGCCTTACCTCCAGTATATATCACAGGCCATGGAACTTTGCCTTGGAAACCCATAATAAAGAAATAAATAAATACATAATCAAATAAAAATATTAGGCCCAATCACTTCAGTTCGACTAAAATATTTTGGTTGTTGAAACTAAACTAAACTAAGGTCATCAAGACTAAATTACTGCATGTGTTATGCAGGAAATTTGAGAGACCAAGGTAGCACCAATAACTATGTCCTTTGCAATGTCAGGGACCTAATTATGTGAGACATGCTGAGATAACCCAGCAGGCAAGGTATATCCCATGCTGCAGAGAGTGGACCCAATCTGACCCAACCTTTGGAAAAAATCATTTCTTGGCCTAAAATCTTGTGTTCTGTTTGGCCCTGAGGATGTAAGCTAAGCACATCAACCAGTTGCCTAAGTGAGACAACTCTACAATATCACAGAACAGGTCCACCCTGTCTCATCTGCAGCTTTGTCCAATCTCTGATGCTTTGGAAAAGAGCAAAAAAAACCATGTTCTACATCTGACCAATTCGGCTCCACAGATAAAAAATTCTCTCTCTCCCAACAAGCAACAAACAAAGTGTGAAGCAAAAGATTTGATTAATCACTGTCTCAATGCAGAGCTGAAAGTGTATGAGTGTTATGAGGAATAGGAAATCTTGTTCTCCCCATGGCTATGGAAGAAAGCGAATACATTTAAGAGATTCATATAGTCCAGGAGAGGAGACAGCCATGAACACCTAGCTGCAGTAGTGACGTGTAGGGGGTACGTGGAGGTGCACGTGCACCCCCTGACAGCAGCTTTCCCACGTAGGGGGGCAGGCAAGAGTGCTGGTACCCCCCCCCCCAAGAGCGCTAGACAGAGAGTGCACTAGGAGAAGTGGTCCCTCCGTGGCTGATCCCACCAACCTGGAAGTGCCAGTGGCATGCCCGGAAGCGTCAGTGGCATGCCACTGCCACTTGCAGGTCAGCGGGATCGGCCATGGGTCCCTCCCTGGCTCCCTGGCCTATGGTATCAGCCATGGGGAGACCACCCCCTAGGCACTGACTGTTTGCTGGGAGGGCAAGTGCCCACCCCTCCCGACTCAGGAGGCACTAGTTGCCCATGCCTAGCCCCAACCTGGATTAAAGCTTACCTATCAGAAAGATATTTAAAGACTTCAAGCAACAGTCAGTCTACTTGCTTCCCTGGCAAAATATCCCTGTGTTTTATCTTCACCCCTATGAACTAGCATCTCATTTCTCAGGTGAATTTTTCTAGAGTCAGCATCTAGCCACTGGACATTGTTATGCACTTGTCAGCAAAACTGCATATCCTTCATTTTAAACTACGGGTTTTATGTGTAAGTACCAATACACAAGGATCCAGATACTTTATCCTTCTCCTTAATAGGCTGATCCTATCAGCCTCATATTATAAGGCTTGCTTTTCAGTTCCTGGATTAGTTTGGGACCCTCCACTGAACTCAGTATTTCCACATTCACATGTTAATAATTGTCAGATAATATTAATTTAATGTTGGTCTTTTAAAACTCCTTTAGGATAATTTTACTACATTTTCATACTGAAAGGTTATTTTGACTTAATAAGATGGTATTTCCTGATTTGACAATGTCAAAACAGGACCCATTTAGGGAATCTCAAAACATTTTGCACCCAATTTTTTTTTTTTAGTTAGTTGTTTCATTGGCCTAATGTTTTGTGAAAAATTTCTGGCTTGACAAAATTTGCATTTTTCAGTGTTGGGTTGAACAATAAACCTTTTCTATGTAATGTGTCATTGGAGAATCTTAAAGTAACACACCAATCATCTAAGGCTCTAAACAAGCAACACATTTATAGCAGCATAAATTACATAGGCTTTGTACACTGACGAAAATTACACTAGGATCTGGAGCAAACAAATGAGCAGCTATTCTGGGGGCAATGGCTCAGAGTAAGTAGCTATTACAGTACCTTGGTACTTGGTAGCAAAGGAAAAGCTAAAATCTGTTTGCCTTAGACCAAATGATTACCCCATGATGGAACTGGACAAATGACACCTACACACCAGTGTAATTTACACAGTGTAGAGTAACTGTTGATTCTCATGGTCATTTTATATCAGATTTAAGTAAATTATACCAGCATAGAGTTCTTGTCTTATTTCTATGTCTTCATATTCTTCAAAAACAGTTAGTTTAGCATTTTTGTTCACCTGAGAGATTCCCACTTGTAAGTGGTAAGTGTTGTGCACATTTCAAGGTGTTTATGAGTTTGGGTCCATGCATATAAATGTATACAGTATACTGTATGAACAGGCTCAGAACCTGTTCTGTTCACAGGTAATTTTGCTGATAATTATAGTTTCATTTTCATAGGTTTCATTCCCAACATTTTGTACCCTCTATAATGTGTTCAAATTTTCACTGCAACAAGTTAACTATTAAGGAAAGCTGGATAGCAATTCAAAGGCTTTAATAAAATATTAGAAAAGTCAAAAGTCCCTTTCCAACTGCTTAATGTTTTTTTCCCCAACACACATTAAATGTTTCTCTCTGCATCACTGTACTAATATTCCACTTCTTTGGCATAAAAAGTCAATGGCATTATATGATCTATCAATTTGATTTTAGAAATTAGAAAATAGACAGAAGTGAAACACCTTTAATTTTGCCAACGCCTTCATACAGAAGCTTAATTTTATACACAGTGAAGTTAATGAAATTACCCTCGTGAAAAATTAAACACATATGTAAGTATTGTATTTACTCAAATAGAAGATGACTACCTAATAATTAGATTCTATATATGGAGAAAATGTATAAGTGTGTTATAATTTTCCAGATATCAAATCTATTTATTGCAGGTTTGCCTTCAATTTATCCCCCTTCCACTATAGCAGAGAAAATAAATTTGGGAGATCAGATGACCACTTTAATCTATGCCCCCGCGCCCCCTTCTTCCTCTTGCAGCCCCTCTCCTGCCCCTTTACTGTCAGACCCTGCTTGGCCTGAACACATGGAAGTGAGGAGCAAATATGAAAACACTGGATGCGTCTACACATAGTTACTGTGCATTAAGTTTAGTGCTTAGATAACAAAGTACTAAATCAATATGCAGTAACTGGTGCTACTGTGCAGTAGCACTGGTGCACGGGTTTTTACAGACATTAACTGCACAGTAGCTTAATACTACTGTACAGTAGTAGCATATTAGCATACGTTTTGCCCGGCACCCTACTGCACAGTGTTATTAGACTAGCAGACAGTTAGCATCTCATGTAGACACACCCACTGACTTTGAAATAAACATACCTATAATAATTCACATACAGGCAAATTATTAATTTATTTAATTAATCCAAAAACCCACTGTTAAAGAGCAACAGCACTTTTGTACCTCCTTACATAGTACATATAATATATACATTTTTTTTTTAAGGAAAATTTTTCATGTTCCAGGTCAAATTAGCTAAATAAGGTCCACATCCATTTTAATCATTCAGGAACCATAGGTGGCCCTGCTACTGCCAAGTATCTTCCACCCCAGCCTGGGGCTTCAGAAACTTCTAAATCCTTTAACAGGCATCCCACGTGCAGGCCCAAGCCTGAAAGCTCAGGGTTCAGTTGCCCCGAAGTAAACTACGTGTGATATTCTACAAAGCCAAAGGCAGTCTCCAATATTTCAAACTATGGTGACCCCCATAGCTCAGCACTGCTCAGTATGTGTGGGTACTTCAAATATCCTCCACAAAAGGAGCCATGTGTTAATTAGCTCACCACTAATGACTGAAATCAGCTGTTCTTGTCAAAGTCCTGGGGTCCTCCAAAAATGTATATGCAGATAAGATTCAGGACAAGTTGGTCCAGCTCCACCTCAAGATGGGTGGGGCCACACTAACTGTATGAGACAAGCTGAGATGGGGGGTGGCAGAGGGATCCTGGGTGAACTGTTTGGGACCTGTTTGGTGATGCTTGCCAGATGTTTAAGGCTGGTGAAGAAACAGGAATCATTGGAAATGAGAAAGAAAAGTGCAACTCAGCTGTGGGAGTGAAGAGGACGTAAAAATGTATTCAATGTAGTGGCTCACCATGACTTGAAAAAGAGTGCGCTGAAGAGGAATGAGCACAATGCACACTACCATATATCTTATTCAAATGGATTGTACTAACTTATGGTAGATTTCCATCAGTATATCTGGCCAATGGCAGGGCAGATATCATGATCCCAAAGGTGATTTTTCCAGGGTAAGGCCTATCCTAAGGGGCAGGCTGATTCCTGTGAGTTTCCTAAAATGCAGGAAACTTGACTGCACAAGTCTGGGGTAATGGGAGACTGCATTCATGCTTTTCCCCTGGCTTAATCCTTGGCCCTTTGACTAGGAGCAAGCGAAACTTAGGAGCCTCTGAACCCCAATGCCTCCAAGCTTGGGGCTTGCACATAGGATGCCTGCCATGGATCTGGAGAGTATCCAAAGCCCAAGGCTGATGGGTCTGAGAGAGAGGATACTTGCCCGGTATAGAGCCACACACAGTTGAACAAGTGAGCTCTGCTCAGTCAAAATTTGGAACTTGACTAGTGGCCTTTGCCCAATATAATTCAGAACTGATTTGGCCATGGAAACAAAATTTTAAAAAGAAAAAAATGTTTGCCCAATATGGGCCATGTGTTTTATAGTCATGCTCAGTGCTGGGTGCATTTAAATCAACTTCCTATTTGGTTTCCATTACTGTGCACACGCTGCTTTTGGCAGCAGTTAAATGATAGACAATGCATTCCATAAGGTTTTTTGTATGCAAATAAATGATAGGGTTGTTTTTCCTCCCATGCTGATTAGGGGGAAAACTTTGTCTAGTATTTGAGTAAATACAGTAGTTACAAAATGAAGGATTAAGTACATTTTTAGAGGATTCAGAGCTTGGATTAGAAGTAATCAAATGACATATCTTTCCCACAACACAGATTCCTTTATGTAGATACATTTCACAGGCCTTGTAAGTTTCACACATTACTTTCTTGTCATTTGTGTATTGTAAATATTTGCCAAAAACATTCAGATTGATCAGAACGATCCAAACATTTTTCAATTAAGGGTCAGACTGACAACTTTGCAGGATGCTTTTATGGAAAATTAGTCACATTAGATCTTTTTAAATACAACAAAAAATGTACTTAAGCATGGCTTACTGTTATGGATGATTTCCCTGCTGTGTTCCCATGTTTCAGTAAGGATTTGGAGAGTTTCCTCTGTGAAACAATCTGTTCAAGAACCAAAACAAAGAATAATTAAGCTCTGTAGTAAATACGTAGAATGTGATTTGATTTATATTTGATAATAATAATTAGTTATAATGTAGTAATGGATAGGAATCATAATCAGGGATCAGGTTCCCATTGTGTTAGGCACTGTACAGATAAATAATAAAGTAGATAATCTGTGCCCTAAAGTATACATTTTTATTGTTGTTACTACTACTACTACTACTATTGCTACTTGTATTACAGTAGGTAATGGAAGTCCAATATTAGTACAGGAAATTATTGTGCTAAACACTGTACAAGCACAGAACTAAAAGATGTTCTCTTTGTCAGAGCTTACAGTGTAGCATTGTGCGCGTGTCTGTGGCAGGGGTGGAGGGGAAAGGACCCCAGAGGATAATTACCAAGATCCCTGGCTAGGCTGCAGTGTTGAAGAAAGGGACTTTGGGGTTACAGTTTCTGCAAACTGAGTATGAGTAAGCAGTGAAAAAGTGTTCCATAAAAAGCTAATAGCATACAGGGATCTGTTAATAGGAATGTCAAATGCACGTGTCTAGAAATGATTTTGCTATTCTCTTCAGCACTGGTGACACACACCTGTACTGCCGTGCCCAGTTTGGGGCATCACACTTCAGGAAAAGAGTAAACAAAGTGAAAGGGGGAAAACAAAAATGAATAGCAGTCCAGAAAATATAACCCACAGCAGCCAGATATTGGGAGAATCTTCCATTTTTCTTCCAGTCAGGGGACAGGACAAGAAGCAATGGGCTTAAATTGCTACAAGGGATATTGAGTTTAATATTAAGTTACATTACTACTTTCTAACTCTGAAAGTAGTTATTCACTGGAATGGGTTATCTGGACATGTTGCAGAATCTCTGTCATAGGAAGTTTATAACTGCAGGCAAAGCAAACATTTGTCTTGGATGGCTTAGGTTAGGATGATTGTGCCTTGAGCAGGGAGTTGGACTAGATTACCTTCTGAGATCTATTCTAGCCCTAGCATGAAGATAGTGCTATTGTTTTAGGCTAGGGACAGAAATTACACATAAACCAGTATGGCTAGGGACAGACATTACACATAAACCAGTTTAAGTGATCAGAAATTGGTTTAAACCTGTAACAGAACAGATGTTCAATGCACATAAACCAGTTTGAAAATGGCTGAAACTGGTTTGAATTAAACCTGGTTGAATGTAGCATCAGACTCAACTGATTTGGGTCAAACTGATTTATGCAATGTCTGTCCCAGACCCCTTGCTGGTTTAAGATAAACCAGACTCCCCCAGCATCCTGGCATGCTCCCTGGGCTGGGTGGGGCTCTCTGCTCCACAGCAGGGCTGGCTTCTCCCCTCTGATCCCTTGCTGAAGCTCTAGCAGAGACTGCAGGCATCTGCCTGGCTTCTCCCTGCTAAACAGGAATTATTCCCCCCACCCCTCTGCTTTACAGACACATCTCAGCATTAGCTAGCAGACCACATGCTGGCTACAGTCTGTGCTGTGGGAGATGACAAAGGCAGACAGGCTTTTTGGAGCTAATCAACAGGTAGATTAAGGCTGCTCTAGTACCCCCTCAGCTTCTAGTCTGGACCACTGCAAGCATGTGCCTGCATTTATGCACTCCAGAGAGGATGCCTTTGTGATTACAAACTGGTTTAGCCTGGCCAGGTTAGAGTAATCTACAAAGACTGAATCAATTCAGGCTCAGGCTTTTTGAATGTCTGTCTCTAGCTTATAAGTGACTGGAAACCAATTCAAATCTGTAACACAACAGACATTCAGTGCACATAAACCGATTTCAAAATGGCCAAAATTGGTTTAAAATAAAACTGGATGGATGTAGTATCAGACTTAACTGATTTAGTTTAAATCAGTTTATTGAACTTGTCCCCGATCCTCTCCATATTCAAGTTAACACACAGTCCCCCAGCATGTCAGGATGCTTTGCACCTCCCTTGCAAACCACCCCTTCCAGGGTGGGTGGGCTAGTCTTGGCCCAAGCTATCTGCTCCAGCCAAGCATGGAGACATGCTCTAGTGTCCCTCGGCTTCTGGCCTGAGCCACTGCAGGCATGTGGCTGCATTTCCAGAATCAAAAGCAAATGTCTGTTCACTCGCTTATCAGTTCAATCTATTCATCTAAGACTAACCCGCAAACTTTGAATTGATTTAGCCTTAGGCTTTTTGACATCTCCACTTAGCCTTAGAGTCACTTGGGTAGGCAATTGCCCATTGAAGCCAGACATAAATAACAAGTACATCTACTTCAGTAGTCATAATAATTGTCATTGATAAGATGCAGCAAGAACATTTGTAATTTTAAAAAGTGGCTGGCATAATAGAAAGTGTTGACATGAATTCTCTCTTTTGTGTATCAAAAGGTTTGTTCAATGAGTACAAGTAATGCAGATGAGATTGGTGTGTCACAGAAGGAGTTTAGCAGTGCACTTCAGAGTCAAACTCTTTCAATGATTACTCACTACATCTGCTTACATCAGCTGACATCTGTTTCTTGGTTTACTTGTCAGCCAAATGGGTTCAAGTGAAAACTCACTGATCTCCAGTGATTTCCATGAGCCTTAACTTTTTTAAAACCTTGTCAGAAATTTTCAGATGAAAAGTGATGTAGAAGTACAAAATATTATTAAATAATTAGTTCAGTGAATGATGGAACAAAAAGTGCATCTTCTGCATGATGACAGAAAATTCTCTTCCTACCAATATGACCTCACTCATTTCCTTAAATGTACTAACTAAATCACTGATGTGCAGTTGAACTTGGGTAAAAGTCAACAATCTGTCATACCCGTGGTCAGTTGTTTATCCTTATTCAGTCTCCTTTGGAAAGATCAGAGTTTTTCCTCCAGGACTATTCCTCAACTTCTAGACTTGCATAAGCTGTGGTGCAAATTATTTAAAGTTCCAAGATGCACAGCACAGAGAAATAACTTGAAACACCAGAGTCTGCACTCATGTGGCAGCTCCATGCCTCAAAGTATAGCAAGTGGAATTTATTTTGATGATCCTATCATTAGCTCATTTTAATGAGACAAGCTCTGTGAGCTATTAGTGTCATTTTGCCACAGTGAACACTCTGCATATGTAAATATGTGTATGTGTGTGTGAACACCCACACATTGTTAATCAAGTGGCCAGTAAAATGGATCCATCTGGCAGCTATATGCCTGCATCATTGCCTCAAATAATAATTAATGTTAAGATTTGTAGACTATCACCAAAATAATTGACAAGAAATCCATTTTTTTAGTAGCGGTAAATTGCCTTTTTTGTTTGTGTGGAGAAAAATGACTGCACAGCTGAAACTGTCACATTTTGGATTCCCAAGCAGAATTATAGGAAGCATTAGCTATCTGCAGTAGCATAAATAGGGCAAGGTGAGAGGGGCACTGGCCCCAGATGCTGACTTCAAGGGGTCACTCATATGGTCTGTTCTTCCCCAGGAGTCTTTTCTAGGGTAGGCTGGTGCAGCTGGGCAGGGGCAGCAGCAGCATCATGCTCAGTGGTGCATCTGGAGGGGAGGAGGTAAAGTGATGGTCCCCCTGAGAGGCTTTGCCATGGGAGGTGCAACCCTGCCCTGGGATGGGGGGCAAAAGGGGCACCAGAAGCAGCTTCTGGAAGGCCATGCTGCTGCCTGTGCTTCAGTGGCAGCAGCCCAAACTCAAGTTGCCAGAAGACAAGTAACTGGAATAGCAGCTGCTGCTTAAATAAAGAGACCCCCAGCAGGTAATATTCCCCTTCTTCCCTTCCAAGCACAATTCTTCCCCCCCATCCCCCCCCCCCCCCCCCCCCCCCCCCCCCCATCTCTCTGCTCTGGACTGGAAAGCTCTTCTCAGGATCTCCCAGAGATCCATGAGGGGGGACTCCTGGACTTCCAACTTTTGCTTTTTACAGAATACTCCTAAATCATCCCTAACCAATGCTTATCTAACCTCTTCTTAAACATCTCCAGTGATGGAAACTCCA